CCGCGAAGCACTCTGTACTGTTGTTGGATACGGATGGTGGCCCTGCGCACAGCAGGCACTCTGATACCCCCCGCCGTCTTTGTCAACACCAACAATACAAAGTGCTCGCGGGGCCCACGAGCATGACCTGATACGTTGCCCCAAAGTGTATGTTGTTATGTTGTTTGATAGGGCTGGTGGGGTTGGAAGAGGAAACGCTCTAAACCACTCACGACCACAGGGCTGGAAGGATTCCAGTCGCTTCGCGTAGCCCCACCAGCCGTTTGCAGTCTTTTCGGTGATGAGGTTGTCCCTCGTCACTCTGGCGCCGACACGATGTTTCGGCATTTGTGCTGCCTAACTCACGGTGTCGTTCGGGTGTGCCTGTCGGTCCAGTTCGTCTTCGACGGCGTTTGCCTGACTCACACCGAGCGTTCGACCTCTGCGTGGTTATGGTCGCGCCGCCGCGCCATTTTGGCTGCGTTTACTTGCTGGTCGCCACCGAGATTTCTACGCCACAGGGTTTGGGAGTATCGCTTCTGCCTCTTCTCCTGAGTGACTGCCCGGTCGCTCGCTTCGCTTGCCTTTTTCTTCCTGCTGCCCAGTCGCGGCCCGACTAGAGTTTGAATGGCTTTCGACACCCCTTCGCGAGCCTGTTGACCAAAAAGTAGCCCCACCAGCCCATCCAGACACGATGCGCAGACGAGTTGCCCTGATCAGGAATGTGGAGGAGCATGCAGTGGAACACGCGGCTGGGTAAGACGTCGTACCTCAAGAGGGGGAGGGTGGAGCAGGAATCGGAGGAGTTGCAGTAGGAGGAGGAGGAGGAGGAAGAGGAGGAGGAGGAGGAGGAGGAGGAGGAGGAGGAGGGGGACTAGGAGGAGGAGGAGGAGAAAGAAGAAGACGAATCAGAAAAATAGTAATAATATTACTAAGAGCAAGAATAATCATAATAATACACATGTTAATAATACGAAGAATATTCATAGTAATAGTAATACTTGTGACATTAATATTAGTGATAACCACAATAATATTAATACTACTTACGATAATACTGATACTGATGATAACAACATTAAGACGAATAATACTGATACCAATTATGCTATGAGGAGGAGGATGAGGGGGAGGAGGCGGATGATGAGGAGGAGGAGGAAAAAGGAATAGGAGGAGGAGGAGGAGCAGAGAGAAGGGAAAGGGGAAGGAGGGAGGAAGAAGGATGCGGACTAGGCGGATGATGATGATGATGAGGATGAGGAGGAGGAGGAGGAGGGGGAGGAAGAGGAGGAGTATGAGGAGTAGGAAGAGGAGGAGGAAGAATATGAGGATGAGGATGAGGATGAGGAGGATGAGGAGAAAACGGAGGAACAGGAGGAGGAGGAGGAGGACGAGGAGGAGGAGGGCGAACAGAAAGGCCAGAGGCCTCTTGGATGCCTCTTGGGGCGTCCTGGGGGTTTCTTGGCAGTCCCAGGGGCCTCTTGGGGCGTCTTGGGTGCCTGTGGGGGCCTCTTTGGATTCTTCGGTTTCGCTTCTTCTGGGGGCATCTTGGGGGCCCCTTGAGGCCTCCCATGCACCTCTTGGGGCCGTCTTGGTGCACCTTTGGGAGCCTAGGGCCATCCTGGGGCCACCTTGGAGGAGATCGACCAAAGGAGAGGGGCTCCTTAATAAGGGTCCCCCTTTCTCGCCGAGACCATCTTGGACGCGCCAACGCTCTAAAGTGAGCTGGGCGTTGCATGTGAGTGGGAACGAGCGTGCATCCGCGGCTGCGTGGTTCAAGGCGGCCGACCGCCCAGATCTGACTACACCTCAGCGCGAGGCGTACCATTTGCCATCGATACCAAAACTGCTTGAGATGGCTCGCCCCCTAGTACTGGGACTATCGTTGCTACGATACAACAGAGCGGGAGTTGGGTTTCGTCTAAGGCGAAACTGCTGGTTGGGCCTCCCAACCCCTTTCAAACTCCAACGGCCCGCGACCCCCCTCCCGGGTCCAGGGGGACGGGGTAGGGGGAGGGGTCAAGACACCCAGTAGATAGCAAACCGTCTAGCTCGCTCCCACCCGCCCCCCCAACACATAAGTAACGCCCTAGCCTCAGCATGTTCAGCGGTTGCCTTTGGATGGAAAGCCGCCGGGAAGCCAAACCGACACCAAATGCGCGCGACGCTCGGGCGAGGTGCGCCACTAGTGCCAGGCGCGCCACGCGCGCCAGGCACCCCTGGGGCCCGAGCGTGCCAGGCATGCCTGGTGTGCCAGATGCGCCACGTGTTCCGTGTGCGCCAAGTGTGCCGCATATTCCGGCCGCGCCAGGCGCGCCACGTGCGGGGCACGCGCAGAGTGTGTCAGGTGCGCCTGCGCACGTGACAGCACACGTCGGGAAACATGCCGGCCCCCGACATCCTTGTCGAACAGCAATCTGCCCATCATTGCGTCTGGTGGGCCTGCGCACAGCAGGTCATACGCGACCACCCCCGCCGTCACTGCCAAAGACCACTTGTCAGTGCTCGCGGGTAGCCGCGCCTGATCCAGATTTAGCCGCGAGGTTCATTCTGCATTGTTTTTTGTTATGGATGGTGGGTTTGCTCACAGCAGGCAGCATGCTGACACCCCCGCCGTCCTTGTCAAAATCAATACAAAGTGTTCGCGGGCCTCACGGATATGACTCAACATTTTGCCCAAAAGTGTATTTCGTATTGGTTTTTGACAGGGATAAAGGGGGGGGAGGCGCATCGGGTTGGCCGCGCATGCTTCGAATTTGGAGGCAGGGTGCGTTTCGTTATGTCTTTTGACAGGGGTGGTTGGGGCGGTGAGCACAGAGTCGGCATTGTTCGTGGTTGGCTGCCAGTCGCCTGTGGGAGGGGGTGTGTATTCATAGGGAACGGAAGCATTGATCAAGGCACCCTCCTAGATGGCAAGTTGTCGAGCTCGCTCCCGCCCGCCCTCCCATGAGGACGGGGTGTGTATTAGTAGGGAAAAATGGTAAAACCCTTCCCCAAAAGGAGAAGAAGGGGGGTCGGAAGAGGAAGCGCTCTGAACCACTCACGCCCTGAAGGGCTGGTGGGATTATGGGATTCATCTGTGGCTGGATCTGGGCAGTCTGGCTGAAAAGGCTACGACGTTTGGCGTAATGGCCCTTAACCGTTCTTATTTCTTACGAAGATCCCCTTGCTCCCTCTCAGTGCCGCTCCAGATCCATCGTGCCGCGTGGTCCCGCTGAATCTCGCCAAGTCCGGCTTCATATGGGCTCCATCTTGGGCTCCATCTGGGCCAGTCCGGTATACACCACCACCGCCTCCCTCGCCCCTTCCCTCTGCCAGGAAAGAGGAGAGGAAGACGAGGGTGGAGGAGGGAGGAGGAATCGACGTGGTGGTGGTGGTGTACACCTTTGGGGGCCCGCACTGCTGGCCCCTGTCCGCACGAAGACCTCCCGGGGTTTGCCTCCTGGTCAATGGCCGCGGCGCCGAGTGCCTCTGGCGGAGCGGCGGCGGAGCTGCTGCGGGAGGCGGCGGCGGAGGCGGCGCGCGGGGATGCCCTGCTGGCCGCCCTGGAGCGGCGGCGGCTGGAGCTGCGCGGGGGCTCGCCGGAGATCGGGGGGGGGGCTTGTCAGAGGCTTCCAGGTTTCGAGGTTTGCGTGCGTTCTCGTCGGTCCTCGGCGGCGTTCCAGTCTCGGGGTGCGTTCCATCAGCCGCGCCTCGCCGAGGGCGTTTCTGGGGTGCCCGGATCGTCCCGAACGGCCGCCGGAGAGCCGAGTTAGGACCCGAAGACTAGATCGGAGAGGTTGTCCTCCTCGTCCCCTCCTCCAACTCTTCCTCCTCGTCCCCCTCGTCGTCCTCCTCCTCCTCCTCCTCCTCCTCCTCCTCATTCTTCTCGTCATCCTCCTTGTCCTCCTCATCCTCCTCGTCCCCTCCTCGTCCCCTCCTCATCCTTGTCCTCCTCTTCGTCGTCGTCCTCCTTATTAGTGTGGGCGGCGGGGTCGCCCTGGAGGGCGACGCTCGAGCGGTGCTCAAGTCGGCATGGAGGCCAGGGGGGAAGTGCGGGGGGACGGGCTTTCTCAATGCACCCCGGACGCGTTCCACTATTCGCAAAAATCAGGCGATCGCAGACATTGATCAAGGGGGCGTGGATTAGCGACGGGTACCGCTTCCATGGGAAGTTGCGGATTTCCACCGCCGAGCGAGGCGGCACCAGCCGCATTTTGGGGAGGTGTTTGCGCGCCCCCGATAAGTGCCTGCTCGCAAATGTCCGAAAGTATCATTTGCGGGCAGCTATTCTGCGAGCAGTGGGACGCGCTTGTCTCACTGCCCCCTTGGGCTCGTCACCCCGCCCCTCCCCCCTGCCCTTTCCGGATGCCGACCAGCATCGGAAGCAGCACCGTCATCATCCCTGGAGAATCGCATGGCTGCCCACATTCGCATTCAGCAGAGGTCCGGAGCCAGACCCCCCCCCTCCTCGTCCTCCTCCTCTTCCTCCTCCTCCTCCTCCTCCTCCTCCTCCTCCTCCTCCTCCTCCTCCTCCTCCCCCTCCTCCCCCTCCTCCCCCTCCCTCCCCCCCCCCTTCCGCTCGGTGCCGAAACTCTCCCTCCAGAGAGCGCTCACGAGGCCCCCTCCCTCGCCCATCCGCGCCCTCTGGCGGGCCGCCGCCGCCGAGACGACTGCTCAGCGGGCGGCCGGGCTCGGGCCGAGCCTCGGGGGGGGGCGGCCTGGGGGGCCCAGCACCGGCTCGAGGGAAGGGGGCCTTCGGGAGCAAGCGCCCCCAGGGGGTGGGGGATCGGGCGCGAGGATCCTCCTCCTGCTCCTGCTCCTCCTCCTCCCTCCTCCTCCCTCCTCCTCCTTCTCCCTCCTCCCTCCTCCCTCCTCCCTCCTCCCTCCTCCCTCCCTCCTCCGCCTCTTCTCGTACCGACGCCGCCTCCATCGCAGGGAATCAGGTCGACCCAAAAGGGGGTCTAGCGACAAGGGGGTGGTGCAATAGTCGGGGGCGGCAAAGAGGGGGGTGATGACTAGGGGGGTGGATCTCATGGCGGGGGCCATGAGATCTCCCCAGATTTCATGGCGCCTCTTTTTGCTTCGTGACGTCCCTGGCCCCCCCGCTGGGCCGCGCGCATGCCGCCGGCCATGATTTGCACCCCCCCCTCTTGGACACCCCCCTCTTGGCCGCCCCCGAAAGGGGGCTTTCGGGGGCAAGCGCCCGGGGGGGTGGGGGAGGAGGCTAAGAGTTCTAGGCCTCTTAGACGGGGTCGGAGCAGATGGGGTCGGAGAATCGCGCCGCACCGCCGATGCATCGGCGATGCGGCTCGATGCGGAGCCCGATTTGCTTCACGTCGACGTCGCGGATGTATCGCCGACGTCGCCAGTGCATGGCCGATGCATCGCCGATGCATCGGCGATGCATCGCCGATGTATCGGCGATGCGGCGAGATCTTCCGACCCTATCTACCCGGACCCCATCGAGGAGGCCTCTAAGAGTTCGGGGCTCAAGAGTCAGGCGATCGCAAGCGTGGATCAAGGGGGCATGGATCAGCGACGGGTCCGCTTCCACGGGAAGTCGCGGATTTCCTCCGCCGAGCGAGGCGGCGCCGGCCGCATTTCGGGGAGGGCGCCTCCCCCGATCCATGGATTTGGCGACCGCGCGCCGAATCCACGGATCGCTCATCCATGCTTGCGCGCCCCCGAAAGAGACGGGGGTTACTGCAAACGGGGGTCAGCCAGAGCGCGGGGTCCTGCAGGATCCTGCAGAGTCAGGGGTGCACCGACCCGGGCTTGGGTGCACGACCCAGGCAGGACCTTGCAAGATCCCGCAGGATCCTGCCAGGCCCGACCGACCCAGGCCTGGACGGACCCGGGCCAGAGGAGCCCCGAGCTGCGAGGTCCGTGAGGGCCGCGCCGGCCCTCGCTGTCCCGCCCGCGTCGCACCGCAGGGCCTCGGTGGGCAGGCGCGCGAGGGCGCCAGCGCGCGCTCCGAGCAGCAGCGGCTGGGCCCGCCTGAGCCGGGAGCTGGCATTCCCGGCCTCCTCCTCCTCCTCCTCCTCTTCCTCCTCTTCCTCCTCCTCCTCTATCTCCTCCTCCTCCTCCGCCTCCTCCTCCTCCTCCTCCTCCTCCTCCTCCTCCTCCTCCTCCCAGCGACCCTCCCCCCACACGGCCTGGGCGGCGGCGTGCCCGGCGATCCCTCGTCATGGCACTGCGCCGATAGCCCGCACTCGCGGCGCCACGGCCCCGCGAGCACCCCGCGCCGCGTCCGCGCTGCCGGGGCCACTCCCTCGCGGGCTTCGCAGGCTCCGCGCTCGCAGGGCCTTCGGATCGTCGTTTGCGCACGTGTCGGAGCGCACGCGCTGGGGCAGCGCTCCCGTGCCTTTCTGCGTGCGCATCGTCACACCGTCGGTGCCCATCGGTCGCTGAGGGTGTTTTTCTGTTTGGATTCCCATGTTCCAGTCTGCTTTGAGCGCCTGTCTGCTTCGATGATCGAGTGGCCTCACCTGTTCCGTCCTCCTTAGGGGGCGGGCGGAACCCAACATATTTCCAACGCCTTCCTACTTCATGTTTCTACCCACTTCTTCTGACCGATGTGCAGTGTGTTCGGCGCAGGAGAGCCCCGCGACGAACCGGTAGTACGATACTGGCACGCAGCTGCATCGGCGTGCTTTGCTCGTCCGGCTTTGTCTTGGCTCGAGGAAGAAGCGGCATCCACATAAGTTTTCGGCGCTCTGCGCGGATTTCTTGGATCCGCGCTGGGCCCCCACCCCGGCGGCGCCTCCGGCGCCGCCCCCGGCGCGCTCCGCGTGCCAGGGAGGGGGGGGCCAGCGCAGATCCAAGAGAAATCTGCACCCGGCGCCAAAAGTTTCTGTCTGTACAGTTTTTGCTCTTCTTCTGCTGACGGCCGCGGGGGATGCACTTTGCGACCTCTGACGTCGTGACATTTCTCCGCGGCGTCCACGCGCAGAGAACCCCTGCCTCGAGGCAGACTTTTCCTCCTGGGGCGTTTTTTGATGGTCCCGGGGCCCCGTGAGAGCTCCCCGAGGCCGAGAACGGCCCAAAACCTGAAAGATGACAGGGGTCGACTGCGCCGACGCTCGCGCGTGAGCGCCCCACGCGCGGCCGCGCGCGAGCGCCCCTCGCTCTCCCTGGTGTGCCGCGCTGGCGGCCCGCGCACGCCGCGGCGCAAGGTCGCGCTGCTCGCTCGCGCAGGACCCGCTGCTTTGCGTCGCTCGCTCTTTTCCGCGGCAGGAGGACGTGGGTCAGGAGGAGAAAAAGCACACGTAGACAGTTAATCGTCGATTCCCCAGAAAATATGGGAAAATATGGGCAGTGGGGGAAGACACAAACCCAGAAAATATGGGAAACTATGGGGGATCCTTTTATTTGTGTGTATCTATTTGTGTGTCCCAGGGCCCCTTCAGTGGGGGTCCAGGGTGGGGGTCCAGGATGGGGGATCCATGCTCGGATCCACGGAGGGGCTCCTTGGGTCCACGATCGGCCACTTGGCGCGCCCATGGAGCGTGACGGACGTCTCCGCGGCACTTGCGCTTGCGTGTTCAGCGCGTGCTTGGCGCTGCTCGCGGCTGGCGCGCGCAGTTGGCGCGCCGACTGCTTCGCCTGCTGCCTCTGGGGACCTATTGGCCTGGCATCGCTCGGACATGTGCATTTTTCCTTCGGCGAGGACCATCGAGGAGCATCCTTGATCATTTGGCGGAAAAACCACGCACGAAACCGAACAACACAGGGAATGGACGTCCGAGCGATGGCCAGTTGGGGGGTCTTTGGGGGGTCCGGGATGCCAACCAGCGCGGGGCGCCGCGGGAATGCCCCGGCGACCGGCCCAGGACAGCGGCCGCGGGCGCCCGCACGTCCTCTACAAGGCCGTCGCGCGCGTGGCGGCGAGCGGCCCTGGCGGCGCCCAGGCCCCCAGACCCCGCGCCGCGGAGACGTCGCGTGGTGCCGTGGGGCAGATCCCGGAGGTCCCGAAACGGTGCGGTGACCACAGTTCGGGGGCGGCCAAGAGGGGGGTAATGACCAGGGCGGCCCAGTTAGCCTGGATTGCTATCCCCTCCTGAGCCGCTTTGGGCATGTGTAATCCTTTTTTATGCAAGGTCAGGCCAGGCACAGCACACCTTGGCATCCACTGTTAACCCCCCATCCCCGTAGCACGCCCCGCGCCCATTCCAGTAGGGCCCGATAACGGGCCGTGGAGGCCAAAACAAATGAAAATCTGCCAGATTGAAAAAACATAAATAGGCAGAAACCTGAAAACTCGGAGGTCCGCGCGGATTTCTCGGATCCGCACTCGACCCCACTCCCTGGCGCGCAGGGCGCGCGGAGCGCGCCAGGGGCGGCGCCGGAGGCGCCGCCAGGGGGCCCCAGCGCCGATCCGAGAAATCCGCGCGGACCTCAGAGTTTTATGTTTATGTCATTGTCTTCTCTAATTCCTTGTTTTGCCGCTTGGCGCGGGCCCTCGCACTTCCCCCCCTCCCCTCCACCCTGGAGCAGAGCCTGGCCGGTCTCGGCGCCTGTTTCAAGCCTGTCCCGGGAAGGGGTCCAGACCTTGGGGGGTCACGTTGCGCCGGTCTCCGGCGACGTGCTGTTTCGACCTGGGCGTTCTTTCCAGATTTCAACCCTCGGTGCCCGTCTCCGAGCCCCAGGACAATCAAGCACGGATCTGGGGCGAGAGCCTACCCCCGGGGAAGCGGTGGGGACATGGAAGCAGGGGTCCGTCAGAGTGCCGGATCCTGCAGGAGCCTGCCACGCCTGACTGGCCATGGCATTGACCCGGGTCAGTGCGTTCCCGGTGGGGCTGTGTCGGCCCCGCCGGGGATGGCGGGGCCGTGTCGGTGGGGATCCCGGGTGACCGCACGGTTTTGGGCCTCGGGGCCGTTCTCCGAGGGCGTCTCGGGCGATCCGGGCCTCCAGGATCCCAAAGTCGTGCGGCGGCGGACCGTGCGGTGAGGTTTTTTCTGGAATTTCGAGGTCCGTCCTCCCCCTTCCTCCCTCCTTCCTCCTCGAGCTCCTCCCTCCGCCTTGCTCCTCCCTCCTCCTCCCTCCTCTCTCTTCCCTCCTCCCTCCTCCTCCCTCCTCCTCCCTCCTCCTCCCTCCTCCCTTCTCCCTCCTCTGAGAACGCTGCGACCAGTCCCTCAGATCAAGGAGGCGCAAGAAAATCGCGATGGCCAGTTCCTGGACGTTTTCGGTCAGCGGAAGCCTTTCCCTGGCCCAGGGACCGTGAACAGACGACTTTGGGATGACAATTTAGTTTAGGGAGGGGATCCAGATCCGCGAGGGGGACGTCGCGATATCATCAACGCCTAAGGAGAGGGGAGTTCCTGACCCCATCCCTCCTGCGACAACTCTCGAGCGGGATCCGTCCTGCCTGCGCGCATTGGCGCCTGCTCGCCCATGCCGGCGCCCAACGTGCTCCCGTACCTTCCACGACGATTTGCTGTGTCGCTCGGGCTCCCTGGAAGTCCTCGATGATCCTCAGGGCGCGTGTTTGCCCAATGTGTGTGTTGCCTAGTTCAGCTCCGCTGGCAGCACGCAGCCTGTGCCGGCCTTCAGTTGCACCGCCTGCGTTGTGTCGAAGGGCTGCGTCGGACAAGCACACGTTGGCGCTACAGTCGGGGCGCTGAATAAGGAACCATCTCCGTTGGGGAAGGGCTCCGTGCCCCTTGATTGTTTCAGAGTTTGCCATAGGTTTTCCTTGTGTTTCCGATGAGAAATCGAAGTCCAACTTGTGGTAGACATGTGCCCTGTCTATTATTTAGGCTTGCAAGTTTCGCTGCCAGTGTTGTGGCCTCCGCGCGGCGTCCCCCGAATCATCCCCCCTTGCGTCCTCGCGCCCATCCCCGTCGTCCTCCTTATCATCCCTGCGCCCATCCCCTCGTCTCGACAGGTATCTCACGATGCACCCCACCATGCACGGACAGTCACAGGGACGCCGATGATGACAGTTGTGAAGATGATATGGGAACGTTCTGGAGAGCTAGCAGACCTCCAGACAACACAGGGCAGCGAACCTTCAAATTTAGGGCTCCTGAGGTCA